TTGTTTTCTTGCTTTATCGCGTTTTCTTTGTTGTTTCAATCATTCATTATGTTTGTTTTCCATCGGTTGCAGTTGCTTTTTGCTATGTATATATATGTATGTGTGGTGGTTGCAAATGGTGTGTGTGATTTCGACAAACTGTCAATCCGAAAAGCGATCCCATTTTAACTCTGAGTCCTGCTGTTGTTCGTGTTGTTGTGTTTTTTAGTTGAATGCTGTTTAGTTTTTTCTTTCCTTTGCGGTTGTTGTTGTTGATGTTTAGTTTGAAAATTCCACGTTCTGTCGGGACTGTGTGTTTGTTCTTAGTAAAATTTGCGTTTATGCTGATGATGATGATAATGATGATGATGATGTTTCTTCTTTCGTTTGTCGCCGAATCGGTTGGCAAGCTGACGACCCAGGTTCATTGTTAATTATTGCGGTGGTTCCTCTTTGCCATCGACCGGGCTCGGTGACAAAAATTTGCGCACATACTTTGGAAAGTGCGTTTTCTCGTGTGCTTTCAGTATCGTCGATCGCGAGAATGTTTTACCGCACATGGCGCACCGAAATGGCCGTTCACCTAAAAATCAAAACAATAAGCAATCGATATATCACCAATCAAAGACACAGATCGTTTGATCGAAAAGTTGAAAACGAAAAAACAAAGAAAAATAAAAATAAAAATCGAAAAAGTGTATTTTGATGGTTTTTTTTTGGTTGCCTTACCTGTATGGACTCGGCAATGGTCTTTCATGTGGTGCCGTAGTTTGAAGGCTTTACCGCAGAATTCGCATTTGAACGGTCGATCGCCCGTGTGCACAGGTAAATGTGTAATCAATGAAGACACGTCGGGAAAGCTTTTACCACAAAATTTACATAAAACTACATTGCCTTGATCATTATTACTCGATGCACCGCTGCCGCCCGATGTTGAATTACCGCCGCCGCAACCGCCAGTGGCGGCGGCCATTGCAGCTGCAGCCGCCGCAGCGGCCGCAAATTCAATTTCCATCGAACCATCGGGCGGTTCGAGGGGGTCGAGTAGTGACGGCCTTTGTGAAAAATGTGCTTCGTGTGGGAAATTTGTCAAATGCAATAAATGACTTGTTTCGCGATATTTCAATGTTTCCAACGAATGCGATAAAATGTGACGGGTTAATTTGCTTTGATGTGGAAACGACGCACCGCAATACATGCATTGATAGATTTGAAGGCCAGCACTTCCGACGATGCTATGTGTATCGTGTGGATTTGGTGGTGCACCTGACGCATCCTGTAACCAAACAAAAATCCACATCAACTTCTTTTTTTCATGTTTCAGGGTTGGTTTTTTTTATATTTTTTTTTTAGCTAATTTTCTTGCAAGTTAATTGAGTTGGTTTTTTTTTTCTTGGGTAAAATTTTGTATTTTGATTTTGGTCCGAATTGAAATTTTGTTTGTTTTTTTTGTTAATAATTTGATTTGTTTGTTGTAATGAATAAAAAAAACAAATGCGAATTGGGTAATTTGATAAGAAGGTAGTTTTGTTGCTCTTTGGATAGCAGCAGTTGTTGTTTTAATTTTTGGTCATAAATATTGATATATAATCAAAATCTACTCTAATTGTTCAAATAAAATGTTGTTATGGCATAAAACATTCGAGATATAATTTTGATTGTGGTTTAGTGTTAAGTTTGCTCGGAATTTCGAATTTGTATTGGTCCAATTCAGCTTTTTTTAGCGTTTGTTTTGTTCAGGTCAAATTTTCAGAAAAATAAATAATTTTTGTTGTTGTTTGTAATTCAAAAATTTCGGTTTTTATTTTTGAGTCTTGCTTGGTTGGTTGTTTGGAAATGATTTGAATTTATATGAAAAAAAAATAGAATATTTACTCTACGATAAGGTGTGTGTGAAGCAAAGAAGGGATTTTTAATAATTATAATGGTAAATATGTAGATAATACGTTTGATATAATCAGTTTTTAGTTTTGTCCAATGGAAAATTGCTGTTTTTTTTTCAAATTTGGTAGTTGTTTTTGCATTCAAGAAATAAATAAAAAGGGCAGAATACTTTGGACAATATTGGGTGGAATTTCGGTCGGTTTTTCCCCTCTTTCAAAACAGAAATAATATACATTCTTCTTGCTTGAACTGATTTTTTTTTCTCTATTGCTTTTTCTTTCATTCGTTTGTTTCAAATATCTCTTTTTTTCTTTCTTTCTTTCTTTCGTTCCCATCAAACAAAATACAATTTTACTCTCTAAGATTTTTTGTTTTCATTTCGGATTTTAGGCACAAAAAAAGTTTATTCAAGAAGTTGAGGTTCGATTTTTGTTTGGAGCGGCATTGCAGTTAGGATTTTCATTTGTTTTTTTTTTTTTTTTTCAATTTTTTTTCACATACGTTTTATTTTTGTCACGCGCGGAATTTTCACATCGATTACCGTTTTTTTTTTCGTTTGCGTCACCAAATATCGAATTGTATAAAAAAAAAGTTGTGTATAACCAAAGAAGTGTAAAAAAAATTGTCCAAATGAATAGGGCAGATTGTTTTGTTTTTGTGGTAAACAAAAAAGTTTTGTAATTTTGATAAAGGTTTTTTTTGTAACAATTTTGTTCTTGCATCAGTTGTATTTTATTTCCACAATGTTGCTTTTTTTCATTCTTTGAACGGTTTTCGGTCATCGAATGTATTTTCTTTTCTTTTTTGTCTATTACGTGTTGGCCGAAGTCGATTACAGAGCGCATTGACAACGGCCAATCGGTTTTTCATGTGATTTTCGACAAAGTCTTTTTCGTTTTGATTCTTTTTTTTTTTTTTAATTCTATTGAATAAGTATATTTAATATTTATGTAAAATTGATAGGTAATATTATTATTATTATAAAAAATACATAATAGCACAGCCATTATCCAAAAAAAACGTAGATCAACTTCTTGACAATAATAAGAACAATTTGTTTAACCAAAAAAGTGTTACAAATTAAATGAAAAAAAAAGAAAAAAGGAATGACAATAAAAAATAGTTCAGAAAAATAAGAAATAATCTGATGCGTGTGTTCAAAATACTCTTCAGGGGTTGAAAAAATTTGGAGCGATACACATTCGGTTTGATTTGAATTTGTTTTTTGTTGGAAATCGAAACGATGCCGAAATGTTAAAACGCCAGAAATACACGACTATTGTCGCGAAGAGTATTTTGCTGTTGGCTGTAATCCAGCCATTGAAATTAGGAGAGAGAGAGAAAAAAATACACACAAAACTCATAAAAATCACAAATCATATTCAAAAAAACTGTATCGCAATCAAATCATAAAATTCACAATTCAATTGCATCCAATAATTACGAATCGAAAAACACAAAAAAAAATCATAAGAACATTTGATTCCATTGAACGGATATAAAACAAAGAAAAAACAGAATGAACGCAGATGCGAAATTCTTGAGTTGCAATCGGAAATTTTGACAATTTTTTTTAGGTTTACCGGCTTTTGTATTTTTTTTTTTGCTTGGTTTTCGAAAAAGAAAATACAAATCAATACGAATATAACCAAAAATCACAACAACTTTTTGATTTTGCAAGAGTTGTACACATTGTTGTTAACGTAAAACATTTCTATTGTCTGATGAAATTAACGACTTGTCATATGAAACAGAAATGAAGAAAACAGAATAAATAAATATATGTTATAAACACACAGATGATTAAAATAGTTTTGGTCTTGCTTTTTTTCTTGATTAAATGGTATGTTTTCGTTCGATCTTCTTTTTTTTAAATTTACAAATCGAAAGCAGTAACAAACAGACACATCAAAATAGACAGAGAGAGAGAGAGAAATATTTGTGGAAAAAAAATTATACACATTTAAAATGTAATTTTTGCACAATGAAATAAACAAATAGCCCGCCAATACTTTGTCTATGCAAAGTAGTATGCTGTGGCTCATCTTGTCTCATTTCGGATTTTCGAACTTTTGAACATAAAAAATATACACCGATACACAAACATATAATAGTTAACTACATGAAGAGAAAAAAACGAATGCTTTATGTATGCATATGAAAATTCGGATCTACAATCGGAGAAATGCCGTTCGGCATTGCGTGGCCTTGGCCAATATCCTCGAATTCACTTTTTCTTCGCTCTTTATTTGATTGTTTCTTCATTTTTTGTGTGTGGAACTTTAACGATGAAAACGGGTTGTTTCATACAAATTGAATATTTCGTTCACAAAGCAAGCATATTGATTGAGTGTTTATAAATGTTTTGGATTTTTACACAAAAAAATCCAAAACTTATTCATTATTTCTATTTTGAATGGATCAATATTCAATCGGTTTCTCTTTTTTTCCTCTCTTCAACACTTACGTCTATCAACAAATTTCGAAATCGTTGCGTTTTTGTTTCAACTATTTTTATCTCAAGGATAGAACGGTTCAATGTTTTTTTATTATTCTGGAAGCGAGGCACATAAATGTTGCTAACGGTTTGTGCTTGCGTCGACATGCAATTCGCTCACAAAGGGGAAACACATAAAATTGGATGCAACACCACACATAATCTAAACATCGATAATTTCATATAAGTTGGTTTTCTTCAAATTTGTTTCGAATGGAAGCATCAAAATGAATAAACATGCGGACATAAAGCATTACGTTTTTTTTTGTATAAAATTGGTTCGATATCGGAAATGATTCCATCGATGCAAGGAATAAAATTTCATTATTTTTTCTTTGCTTTTGGGGCGTGGATTAAAAACAGAAAAAAAACCTCGGAAAGATTCATTTGGTCGAAATTGATGTGGGATTATGGGCTGATGGAATGACAGAGATTAACTATATACACAAACTGAATATGGTGGGAGGTGACTATGGGTGATAGAGTACATAAAACAAGCATGCAGATATTTAAAGTCTCATTCGCAAACTAACGTGATACAATTAGGGTAGGTCATTGCGCGATTCAATTTTTATCTTGAATCCAATTAAAATAGTTAATTAAGGAGTATCAAATACGGCAACAACAAAAAATCACTCACCGAATCATGTGCATGTCTGTAGTCCGATGTCGATTCACCAGTTGATTTATCGTCCGAACGATCCCAATCCATTTCTTTTTTCAACGACTGCAACAAAAATGACTGAATTTAATATTTTCATCTGTCAAAAGTTGAAGTAAATTTCTCAATCGATTTAATTACGGCCGTGTAATCTGGGTTAAATTGAGTCACTTCGGAAAATTTGGTACAAATACAAATGGTGAAACCAAGTCAGATAACGAGTCTTACCAGTGGCACGGATTGAACGGGCCCCAAACCAGATGGGCCGGCTATCGGCTCGGTGGAAAGTGTTGGATCAGACATTGGACTAGTTATTCCACTACTGGTTGCAATCAATCCGCTCGATGTTGACGTGCACGTTGATGTTGTTGTTGCACTGCAAAAGCAAACGATTTCGAGATTAGCATGAGTTTGAAGTGGTTTTTATGATTCCCTGTTCAAAATGTTTTTTTTTTTGTTCAATCTGTATTTACCTTCCACTGCCGGACGTTCCGTTTCCCGTTGTCGGACCATTTCCATTCCCAACTTGAATCTAATTGAATCGAATTGTTTGAAAAATCGGTTAAAAATACGAAAAATGGTTGAATATACAAAAATCGATGCGGTTCAACATTTACCATTGCTGAAGTGATCGAAGAGGAGGCAGATGAGCTTGGTGGAGGCGGATGTATATCAGATGGTAAATTTGACGACGAATTAACGTTTGATGGTATTGTTGGTGATGAGCTGCACATTGAAAGCAAAATAAGAACCAATTAATAAACTCATGCTCAAAAATGGGCTTTGATCGATATATTTTTTACCTCTTTCGAATCGGTGGCACAGAATTCAATGAATTAGAGTTTATCGTCATGTTTATTCCCGTTTCTAAAACGAATGAATTTGATTAGATTATTATCGAAAGATGAAAATTGTATGCAACTCCAATATGTGTACCGTGATCATTCGACATCGCATCATCTTCATCGTCCATATCATCGATATCTTCGTCGGGTGTTCGTGATCGGCGATCATCAATTGACGACGGATAATCGGATTGTTTTTTATCGTCGCGATGCGGTAGTCGTTTCAATTGAAGCGGTTGTGAATGATCATCGGCGCCCGTTTCCGATTTGTAATCTCGTTCTCGTTCTCTGTTTATTTTACGCGGATGCGGATAATTGGATACGGGAGGTGATTCGCCGCTCCTGTGGTGGCGTTCTGAATTCGGCGAAATTCGTTGGATTTGGTGTAGGGGCGATTGCTGTTGCTGTTGATGATGATGTCGTGGTGGCGGTGACGGGCTGCATCGTAATCGTTTTGAACTTGAATTTGTTGTTGTCGTTGCAGGGGTGTCTGTGAATGCATCGAAGCAACAAATAAGGATAAATATCATTTGAACTCAGACAATAAATGATGGGTATAATATATAGTGAAACTACCTGGCATCAAATGCTGTGGACTTGATGTTGGGGGTCTTAAGTGGTCTTGTTCTCGTTCTGGTTCTCTCAATGCTGAGCTTTGGTTAGTCATCTCGGCCAAACCTTTTACCTAATTACACGCAAATGCAAACGGTAATTACATAATCAGATCGTAAAAACACACACTTCGCACACTGCATCGCAATGCGTTGATGACGGCACTTACCTTCAACGATTCTGCTGTTTTTAACAGAGCAGAAAGCTGACAGTATTGTACATTTACTTCACCTTTGTACATGAATTCGATTAGTGTTCGGAGTTCAGCAAATCGTACGTCTTTTAATATCACAATTGGATGCCGTGAAGGGTGGTCCAAAAATAGGCTCTGGAAATATGATGAACAGGCCGAGAGGACCACCTGTAACAATCAATGGCGTTGAGATAGAAAGAGAAAAACAAGCAGAAAAAAAAATGTATATTAGATGATTGGTAAAGGTTTTGTGTGTGAAGAAATAAATGGCTTCTGCAATCATTGAATAGGAAATCATATATGAAATTGCGTTAACTGAAAATCCGCGCGTTCGATGACTTTCGCTGTGTACATCGCGTCATCATAAAAAAACCATAATTTATGAGTGTTCTTCTTTACTTTCCCTTTGCACATATGCTAGGTGCGTTTTATTTTGTTTTGTTACGGCCTGACTCATTACTGTCGTTTTTTTGCTGGACGTTCCACAGTATTAAATCATTTGGATTATAGTGCGCTTTTTTTCTATCTCTATCTCTATCTCTCTCTTCTGTACCGGCAGAACATAGATCGCACAACGAGTTTTTCAATTTAACGCGGAATGTGCAAGTGTCCACCAGTGAGAAAAAGAAGAAGCGAAAAAAATCATGATTTTCAATCGAAACACTTGCCAACAACCCATCAGTACGCAGTATGTTTTATGGCCCCTAAGACGTTGCAATTGCGTTCGAAATGATTACGAGTGCAATTCGAATCAAATCCCATTTCGATATGGTGCGCAGATTTCTTTTGAATCATTAAATCAAGCGAGTCAAACCATAAATAAAAAGAGAAAAAAAAATGACGTTTGATTGATTCTCTGTTCTCGCTGCGATCATTGTTGTGTTTGCCCACAGAATGGGCTGTGGTGTGGTGTTTTATTTGATTCCAAAAAGTCAAGCCAATTAACAGATTTCTAATTAAGGGTAAATAATTACAGTTTTCGATTTATTATTGATTGTAAGCGGAAAATAGCCAATCTGACTAAGGGTTCTGAGAATGGAATTATGACTGAATTGTTCTTGTTTTTACCGCAAAAGTTAGAGTAAAAATAGAACGCTTGAAAGATTCATTGTGCTGTTAAAATAATGCATAAATTGTTGTGTGGCGATACCTTTGAATTGATCTATTTTTAGCATCTCCGCCTTTTTTTGTTGCAGTTTTTTCCCACTCACTCTTTCTCGCAATCCAAAAAAAACCCTGATGTTGCCCAGATACAGCGCACATTAGATTGTCGGCGGCCGATACGTGATTTATGAATAATTTTCATCGATTGATTTACGATGGAAGGTGACTTTTTTACTGCCCCATGCTCTCTGCAAATGCGCGAGAATTTCTACGTTTTGGTTGTTGTTGCACATTTCGATTTCAATGCATAGTTTGTGTGGAGGTGACACACGAAACGAGAAACAATTCAATACAAACAATGTCTCAATGAGTGGCAATAAAACTAATTGAATCGCCAAGTTTCTCAGAATTACACGTTGATCTTTGTGTGTATGTTTGAGAGGCAGAGAGAGAGAGAGAGAGAAAGAGAGAAAATGGATGGTCAAGTTTTCAACTAATTTAAGTTTGGTTTTAGTTTTCTTCGATAGAAAAACGAATTTCCGAGCATCAACAGTGAAAGTGGCTCTACATTGTGTGTGTGTGTGTGTGTATGTGTTTAGTCTTTTCTTTCAACAAATAATCTTGTTCTGGTGATGGACAGGGAACAACTCAATCGACATGCGTCGGCGCTCAATCATCGAACGGCACACGTTCGACATATTACAAAAAAAGGAACGCTTATTACTACAGCCAGTGATTGAATTGGATGAGATTGAAAACGCCGCCGTCAAGCCATGACCATGAAGCCGCAAAATATTTCCACATGTTTGCACTTAATTTAAAAGGCAGCAACAAACAGCAGCAGTAGCAAACACAACGACAACAAAAAAACAGTGGCATGGAGACATCGAGAGCAAAACACAGAAGACATATTTCATGTTTGCGGCGAAACACACACGTAATGAGCCGTATTTTTCTTTCTTTTTTCATTCTCTCGCACTGCAATGAATCATCGACGAGCACGAGCGTTTTGAGTAAAGTGAACGACAACAGCGATGAAAAAAAGCAACTCACAATTACAAGTTGCATTGCGTTGACATGACAAGCACACGTAATAGAAGTATTCGCCGTGGATGTCACATATCTATCACACTATCTTCATAACAACAGAATATATGTGCATCGTGGCATAAACAAAGCTATCGCTTGTTTTTTTTCCTGTGCATCGAGTTGAGTCGTTCCACATCGTCAGGAGTGTCGGTGTGTGTGCGATGCATGCACAACGTGCAAATGTTTATCACAAAAATGCTGGGGAATTCAATTTAAGTGGCTTAAGTGACATGTGCAACGTGCAATTTCACTAGAACTCACACCGTTCAGCCAATGTGATTTAAAACTTCTTTTTTTTACGTAACAATAGAATCGAATTATCCCATGTCCAGTTTTAGTTTCATTTGAAAACTTTCTTCGGTTTTTTTTCCACCACAGCGAAGAAAAAAGAAACATTTTCGTCAAACTTTTTCTTTAACATTGCTTTTTTTCTATTTGAGTTTTTGAGTTGGTTAAAAGTTTCCATATTTCGAAACATTGTTGGCACATTTCGAAATGTGTAAGCACTTTTCGCGACCGCGCACTATTTCAAGCTTTCAATTGGCTCGTTATGGCTGGCTCGTGTGTGTGATTAGTGTTAGAAAGAACGTTGCGATCGCTGTTTTTTTTACGATTATTGCATTCGGTATGCTGTGTGCCAAAGATTAAATGAGGCTGAAATGAAAATTGCTTGCACGGAGCGGAAAGAGAGAACGACAGAATGTATGCTATATGTGTCCCAATTTTATTTATGGATCCAAATTATTAACGCTCTCTTTACACTTCGGAAACAGCAGTCGCGGAAAAAAATAGCGAGACGCGGAACGTGCACATTTGCATGCACAAAAATGCGACCAATGAATAATTGCTGGTCTCTAGAATGACAGAAAATTTGTGAACGAATAGAAAGGACAGCTCAGCGTTAGCCCCATTGCATAAAAATGGAAATAAATCTATATCGTTTTGACACCGATTTGTCGAACAGAAATAAAAATGTTTGATCTACAAAGCTAAAAAGCACTTTGCGTTCAATAATAGTAAAATACATGTTTGAGTTTTCAAGTTCGTCCCAAAGCACATTTCCATCACTCAGCAGTGCAACGAGAAGAAAAAGCGTCGGGGAAGAGAAAAACGACTGAAATGCGATACATCCGTCAATTTTCCACAGCTGCAAAAGCAAAAGCGATCATCGAATTGGAAGTTAATTGCTATGCATGTCAAAAAGAAACGTCGCCGCGTTTTTTTTTTTGCTCTCTCTCTGTTTGCTGCAAGTCCTTTTCAAAACCCATTTTTGATATGCACACACGCCGAATGAAATGGATTGAAGCTCTATTGTGGGCGTTTGAACTAGTACGAAAAAAATCGGTTTTTATATCAAAGACAAATCGCATTCAGCATTTGGAGTGGCATTTTTTTCGAGCTTGGCATTTGTTTGCACGCGCGTTTGTGTGTGAGCGCGCTTAGTGTTTAGTAAACATTGTTAGCTAAGCACAGACGTGCTCAAGCTTAATTGCAATTGTAAATCATAAATGGAAGTTTGCATGTCAACCGCATTTCACAGAGTCAAAAATCACGTCGAACGAGAACACGCGTCGTGAGAGCGGCGAACGAATAACAACCGAAAAAAACAGCAACAACAACAATAACCAATTTTTTCGGTTTCTGTCGAAGCCAAGAGAGCGAGCGATAGAGCATTAGCTATTATCTGTCTTTTTCGAAGGCACGAAATTCCTGTCCGCGGCTGGAGTGAGGTGTGTGTGTGTGTGTGTGTGTGTGTGTGCGGATAAAACTATTGAAGCGAATGCATGCCGAATGATTGGTTCATAGTCACTTCCACTCCCGCTGCCGCGTGTTCATTTACCAACATGTTTCGAATCCATGCAAATAAGGCCACTTTTAACGGCCTTTCAATTCGCACACAATTTGACAAGTTGCCATTTTTTGTGTGTGTACCGCCACTGCTGCTGCTGCTGCTGCTGTGGTAGGCACTCTCGTGAATGGCTTCCATACGATAAATTGTTCTTTTGTTTTAACATCGCAACACACAAATGATTTTTTTTCCTCTCTACCGCTCGCTGCCAACTATAATTCGAACAACAGATTTTCTGCGTCTCTGTGAAAACGCAACTGGTTCAAACATTAAGTTGCCATTCAATTGGATTCGTCGTTTGTCAGAATGCATTCCATTTCATTGTGCGATTGAAGTCATTGCACAACAAACGAAAAAACAAACACACACACAAAAACCGTATTCGAAGGAATATGAACCTTTTTTTCGTCGCCGCCGTTGTCGTCGTACTCAATAAAATTGAACACGCATTCGTTGAACAGCAATCGCAACACATTTTTATGGGGAGAACTGGATAGAAGTGAAGGAAAAAAAACCACTCAATATGAAATTGATAAAATGCAATGTTTTTTCCGTAAAAATTATATCGATCAATTTGAGTATGCGTCACAATTTCATAACCATGTGCATTCGCTGTTTATATTGTATATTGTTTCTAATTCATTTATTATTGGACCTCGCAAACAAACACACACACACACATCCACTTATTTCACGCTTGTTCTCATTTTCTCTCTAATCATCGGTAGAAACGAGTTGATCGCGATTTAATGCAGTTTATGTATTTGGACCAATGGTTTGCTATTGAAAAATTCCAATGGCGTGAATAAAACCCTCGGCCAACCAGATTTGTTGTTTTGCTTCTCGTGAAAAGAAAATTGCATAATGCTCACAAAATCGACTTTCGTTTCGATTCTCATTTTGGCATTAATCGAAACGAGAAAAATGGCATTCCGCGCACAAGAATTAAGGAATGGCCTGCACTTCAGCCAGTCAGCCAGCCAGTACACATACTCTATAAAATACCTCCCTATCCAAAATCGAATTTAACAAATCGGCACACAATTCATAGTCGCACTGGCAATTTATTATAATTCCGATGGAAAAAAACAGAAATAAGAAGGCTTTTTTGCATATGTACGCTTTTGTTGATATGGAATGTTAAGTTGTGCGGCAACAGCAAAACTTGGCCTGTCAAACATTTTCCATGATTATCCAACTGAAAATGTGTCTTTGTACGCATTTCGCATTTGGTTACTCTGCAGTGCGCGCGCTCGAATCGAAGGCGAGTCCCCATAAATGTGCAAAATGATGCCGCAAGCAAACACACACACACAAACACCAGTCAATTCGATTTAATAGATAAACATTAAACAAAAACAGATTTTCAGTGCTATGCGAGACGTTTAATGCTCCCTCAAGCCTCATTTAATTACAAATTTTCCATACAAAACACAGAGACGGTACGCGATATTTGTGTTTTGATACAATGGTTTTCTGATATGTTTCACCTTAGCACGCGCGCCTTCCAATCGATTCGCTTTTATGGAGCGCACACATTTAATTCCACTGTTGCCGCCGTCTCTAGCGCCGTCGTTTCCAAAATCGATGGCTGTTTTTTTTTACTCTCTTCATCGCTTCCATTCCATTGACGACGACAACGACAGCGGCAGCAGCAACCACGAACGCATTCAGCTAATAATCATCGATTCAAATCGAATAAGAAACTCCCGTTCAATCGACGGTGCGGTTTATCTTGATTCTATTATATTTTTATGGAATATTTTCTGTGCGCGCAAATGGGCACACACACAATATATATATTGCAGATCGATTTTGGAAAATTAGGTAGCCAAGCCGATTGAGAAGCCGCCTTCTCGCCTTATTTCATTGCACAACATGTGTTATGCGCACTCACCGTTCCAAGGTAATGGCGATAAAATACTACCGCACTATCGAAATTGAAATTGCATAAAATTCTTTCCATCATAATTTAGAATTGGCTTTGTGCGAAAGCGGTTCAGCCGAATGGTCGACCAGCTGATTTTATTGCAAATCGTTCTTTTGAATCTGGTTTTTTAAAACAGAAAACATCGTAACTGACCAATTGGATCTGGGGCAAATACAATATTGGAAAATAAACACTGAATCAGACGATTTAAAGAGCAGTCACATTTTGAAAATAAAACAATTACAGACTTAGAGATTGGTTCTCTTTATAGGAGAAATTTCGAGGCAGATTTTCAATCTTTTTACACATTTTCAAATTGCTATCTTCACCGAAGATAGATTTCATTTTTTTTTTCAGACAAAAATTGATTTCAATGAAGGAAAAGAAATAAATAAAGAAATAAGTTCAATTCACCCACAATTGTCACTTGCAAAATTGAATCACTTACCTTATGAGCTCTGATTGATGCACCTTCTGAACAAGCTAATGTAACATCCACTAGACTCTCGTCCTGCAATAATTGACTAAACACCCCTAACAGGTTGGATTGATGATTGTTCCACCTCAAGCAGTAATGCTCAGCAGTGTGCTCACTGCCCATGTCGGAGACAGCTCACGCTGCTACCAAAAAAAAGAAGAAAAAAAAGAAAAGCGGAAATAAGTTGTTGTTCAAACGGTCCGAAATGTGCATGTGTGTATGTAAAATAAAATTGGGAAGTAAATAAGTCATTTTCTCGAGAAAAAAAAACAGCGCTACAAATATGTTGCCCAACCACGTGATCGACATTGTAATTGATATTGCCGATGCGCATGTAACCGAATAGGTAATAAGCCGCACTCAATTTATGCATAAAATATGGCATAAGTGACACTGTTCGTGATAAAAGTTAATATCCATCAATAAATATCGCTTGCGTTTGTTTTTCTTCTCATTATAAATGGGTTTGAGGTGTAATGTGATCGATGCAGACATTTGGTTCCCATAATGTGAATTATGTGCGTTGCATGTGCGACCGATGCGCCAACCAACCGACCGCCTAGGAACATTTAATCAAAGTCGATCTTCACAATCAGATCCGACAATGGCGGTGACAACGTGTTGCGGCAATTTTAAAATAACGATCTATTTTCCATATTTGCGTTTTTTTTGTTGCTGTTGAAGAGAGCGAAAGATGAGCCGATGGCAGAGTCAAAGCCAAGTCGAAGTCGAAGTCATGACATAAACGAAACGAAGCATTGATTAAAAGTGATGCCGCGTGCACACGCAACTCATTTGCAAAACACTTTCGCATCCATTTCTTTCTCATCGCTCGTTTCGAGCAGAGAGAGAGAGAGAATAGAAAAGAGAATCGAAGCGTGCATAAATCAAGCGATCTCGCAAACAAGACAACAGCACAACAGCACCAGAGACAGAGTGAGACCTTTAAATGGGCAAACATGCAGAAATGATCGAGAGACGAACAAAACCAACAAACGGGAATTACCAAGATGAAGCGTAGAGCACAAAAGTTAAACACATAATTGATTAGAGAAATGTAAACTAAATATCGGTTCTCTCGGTCGGGTGATATGCAAACGCGCGCGCTGCGAGCGGTGAATTTGCTGTGTGCGGGTTTGGTCTTGGGAAACATCTGTTGCGATCATTGTAATGAAATGTGAGGCGAATGGTGAAACAAACCGAGGCTCGATAATTGAAAAATGTGTAAATCCACGCATCCCAATGATGCCGCTTACAAAGGCGACAAATGTTCAAACTTGTGCGCACACGGTGATTCACTTTGCTCTGTGCTAAGGAGAAAGAGCACCGAAAACAGGCACAGCAACGAATCAACAAGCAAAAGACGATGACGAAGACGACGAAAGAAGCGAAAAAAAGTGAACGAAACGCATGTTCAGTTTAAAAAGTTGCATGCAAGCGATATAAACTGCCCCGAAGTCATTTTAAGCACAAAATAATTATATGTAAATTTATGTAAGGCTCTTTGGTTTGGCGGCGGCATGCGAATGTGTGCTGCTGCACACCGGAGTCTGTGCAAATACGAGAGGCCCGAGCGTTGGTTTGTGGTGTCTCTCTGGTGCGTTGATAGCTTTATTGTAAAATAGAGAGATCTCATGTCAAATAAAAATCCTCCGTCGATATATATTAGCTCTGGGTTTTCTCGTTTGTAATCGCTTTTTGGTTTGCCGTTTCGTTCACATGTTCCGTGTGTGTATGTGTGTGTGTGTTGTTGTTGTTGATCCGGGGAGTGTGAGAGCGAGCAAGAGCCGGGTGCACGAGAAGAGTGTGAGAAAAGAGCGATCGAAGAAGAAATGACCGTGCGCGTGGATTTTGAGCCGTGGCGCATCGACACGTATGAATAAGATTCATTTTTGTGCATAATAAATGAGTTTTAACTGTGAAATTGCCCCGAAATAAATCGTCCGGTGCCAGTAGTTTGTTATTATGAAGGCGCAAAATTATACAGTTTTCATTTATATGGCATTTCTTGTTGAATGCATTAAAGGCGACCGGCCCAGAAGATGCCATCAAGTTGTCCATTTAAGGATGGGCATGTGCGCGCACGCGCGCTAAACGACACATCGATTACGTTAATCGATTTGATTTTTCACACTAATCAACTGACAAGCAGCAAGCGTAATCGCCTAATTGACTTGATTCCAATGATGGGGCAATTGAGTGTGTGCATGCGTCAAGACACTAAGATTTGAAGTAGAGTGAAGAATGCCTTTCGATTTGTACATGGTTTTACTGAAACGATTTCTAGAGTAAATTGGAAAAATCAACACAATTTTCATTTGAGCTGAAAACGCAGTGGAAAACAATTGCGTAAATCGATCATGGAAATATGTTAATTGAATAAAAAATTGAATGGTTTTCACATAATGTCGCGTAAATTGAATGTATTCTCTTTAATGTTTCCTCAATTTCCTTCGTGCATAACACAAACACACGCACACAATAACGATGGTCTCCAGTGTGCCGTTTCTTCTACATTGTGCTGATGATTTGAATAGCAAACGAATCGAGCGAACGAAATAGTTGTAACGCAACACATGCTTTATTACTACGTTCGAATGAGAATTAAGCCGTCGTCGTCGCCATTCGCCATATGACCGTATCTCTTCGTCGATTCTCCGGCACGGAATAACGCAAATCGATAAAACTACAAAGTTTGAACATATTTATTACATTGTAAAATGTCTTCAATTAATTTCATTTTATGTTTTGCTTCGTCGTAGTTGTTGCTCGATGCTCGTTCTTTTTTTTATCTTGTTTTCAGCCAGATTTTACATGATCTACCCGATACTTGATCAATAAATCGAATCGGGCCGGTGGAACATATATATCGGAATGGGAATGCAAATAAAAATGATTAAATGCAAACCAAAGTGAAAACCGAATGAGATGTGATATCGGTTTTTTCTTTCGGACCGAGTCTCCCCTTTTTCATAATAAGAAACCGACTATTTATTATAACATCATAAATGGCGAGCAAATCACGTTACATTTCCTTCTGCCAATTAACACAGTTTTCATCTGCATGTTTAAGTGAGCGAGTGCGACCGGCAATGATCTGCACGATATTTAATTAACATACAGACCAGAGCATGCCTCTAGAAGAAGAAAAAAACAAAACCCGATGCAGCAACAGCTTAGCAAAACAAATAAACCAAACAACAAGGCAACAGAAAAAAAGTTGCACTTATTAAACGCTTTATTTATCGATCCCACGCTTGATTTATGAATCGGAATGTGTGCGATAGATGAAACCGCCGTTGCAATCATCGGCCTAGAAAAAAACTCGATGCACATTTTTTTCCCGTGCTCGTGTGTGCGCTAGCAAAGTGTGTCTCTGTGAGAGAGTGTTTTTTTCTCTGCTGTGTGTGTGCTTCGGCTTTGGAAAAATGTTGAACGATTATAGTCATTTGTGGCAAACGACACTTGCAAAACGCAAAGAAAACATCGCCGAAACGAACAAAAACACACAAAAGCCGACCATTTACATTTTCGATGAGGTTGCCAATGTGATGTATGTTGCAATGTTGTAATACATTGTGATTCACACACTTCATCTCCCGTTCTCACTCACTCAGTCTCTTCATTGGCATAGTGAGTGTTGTACCAACGAAAACCGGGACGGGCGCTCGTTCACAGCAAGCCGACGAGGGAGACAGGGAAAGAGCAAAGGAAAAAAAGCTCTCCATTTGATGTTGATGCGCGCACGTTGGCAATCCGATGCCAGAGAGCATTAGCATGTGTTGTTTGTAATCTATGTGTTTTTTTTTCATTTGGTTTTTCGTTTCATTTTCGGCCTGAGCTGCACAGATAAAATTGCACACGAGAGTCAACAATTTATAGATGCGTACGCGAGTATTGTGGCGATGTGGCATCACACACAATCGCAAACACGGGCCGAGTATAGCTGCTTGCACCAAGATCACGCTAATAAATATTAGCATTGTTAATAGGTTTGTGTAGATCTGAATGCAATTATTTACCAACGCAAGCATTTCATTTGTTTGATTCACTCACTCGATCGATGGCTGTGGCTCAGGAGTGTGTGTTGATGGGCCAAATGTTTTGCTTCTTTTTTTCTATTTCTATTTTTGTTTTGTTCGTTGGTTCTTTTCCGTTGCAATTACTTTATTGCATTGCTGTTCGATTAAAGCAAAAAAAACATCGATCTGGTGCGTGTGCCGTTGTGGCTGAGACTTTCAAGTGCCTCTTCGATGGAGTGAAAAAGCGGTTAAAATTACATACACACAAGAAAGACCAAGAAATTGCAGTAAAAAAGAACATAATTATGTGAATTTTCAACTCAAACTGTCGAATTCGGACCGAACACCACAAGCACATTACATCGCTGTTGAAATACAGTCTCTAAGTAAACAAAGTGAGTTGAAGCTAGTGAAGGGCACATGGATGCGACCGAATAGAATTTATTAAGATCCATAATAACGATTCGGATAATATGCGCATCGAATGGACACGTTGCGTTGGAAATGTCTAGTAATCATTTCGATGCATTTTAATTGCGTAATCACCGAGTCGAATGGAAAATAAACACTCATTCGCTTGCTCATACGTTCCGTTCGTTTGTTTTGCACAATGTATTCTATAGTGGAGGAAATATCCTAGGAAAATGTTGTGTCCGAATTTGTGATGATTACGACTCGAGAAAATCAAGTCATTGCAAACGATAAACCAAGTTGAGAGATAGGTGTTGTCGGTGATGAACGCATTAGAGATGCTCTCTCTATCTGCGTTTGGCTTCATTTGGTGTGCGCATTTGTGGTGTTGGTTAATCTCTAGAGCTCTTTTTCACCTGACGCATCAATCCATCCATCTTTCCAAGGTTTATTTATTATCGGTAATTTGGCTAATCGCATTTTATGTGAACAAACATGAGCGAAGCGTTTAAAGGCGATTACAATTCCAAAGCCAAAAGAACGAAATCTTTAGCATTTGAGTGCGCACTCACTCGCTCACTCATTCCTTTATATAATCATTTTGTTTGTACGATTTTGATCCGTAATTGATGGAGAAAACTTTAAAATACGGCATCATTTCATACGGCGTCGTTTTTGCATTACACAAATCGATTTATTCGTTGCTGCTG